TTGGAGTTTTATGTTTCACTCGGAATCTAGGGGAATAATAATGAAAGATTCTTAATCTGATTATGTCCACTTCAGCTTTTGAATTCATTTTCCATACACTCTGTCCTCATTTGCATTTTACGGTCTAATCGTTTACTAAAAATAGACATTTCAACATTTACGCGGAAAGTACATTAATTTTACTTGTACTACAAATGCATTATTCATCTCCATGAGAGAGAACAAAAAAAAAGAGTGACTAAATGTTGTTTTTTTAACACGGAAAATGTCTGCTTGAATAGAGAATATGGAAGGCTGGATGTATCTGATTACTGAGATGTGAATGAATTCACAATTCACAATGACAGTAAATCACTTAACCCCACACGAAGTAACACTGGGTAGTTGTTTTTTTCTTTTTTTCGTTGTTATCTTATGTGCCATTCTTTTCACTTTTACAAAAGTAAAGTCAACATATGACTAGATAGTCTTGCCGATACTCTTGATGCTTCCCTTGATAAAAAAAGAAAGAAAGGAAGATCAGATTTGCATCATAATCCTATTTCGCAGGTCCTCATCAGATGTTTCAAACTACCTGAAATTACAATGATTATAAATACAAGCGGGGATCGGGAAAGCAAGGCAAGGTTTCATCCCTCTCAAGTCTGTATGGAGGTCAACAACACTCAGCATGAAAAATAAGATGCGGATTTTCAACCCCAATGTGAAGTCAGTTCTACTATACGGATCAGAGACATCACACTTTGAACAAACTACAGATTTTCATCGCTAGCTCTCTTCGCTCAATGCTCAAATTCAGATGGCCAGAAAAGATCAGCAACAGGGTGGGATCTCTGGGAGCGAACCAACCCAGCAGGAACCAATTGTGCAACGAATATGCAGGAAGAAATGTAGGCGGATTGGATTGGCCATACTCTGAGAAAACAAATCATCAAGTGAGTTACATCACATAACAAGCTCTCAAGTGGGACCTGAACGGGAAGCCCCAAGTTGGGTTGTCAGTGAAAGGGTGATATGGAAGAGATCATATGAAGAGGAGATTAAAGCTTGTGGTCAGGCGCGGAGCCAGGTGAGAACGTTGGCAGAGAACCGAAAGCAATGGAGACGTGCAGCTGAAGCCATATGTTCCTCTAGGAATTAAGGGAAACAATAATGATAATAAATAATTACCATGATATAGCTCATGAATTCTAACCTCTACCAATTCGTGATTTAGCACGACCCCAACCAGTGTCGTCGGTGGGACATCCATCCTCACACGTGACATCCGGATGGACCTCACTGGTCACGACTTCTCACTAGAACTCCGGGAAACTCCATCCTGCGTACTACCGGTGATTCCCAAACTAGGATGAAACAGCTATCCAGTACTCCCTGGTTTTCAATGGTTCTCTAAATGATATCAATCCGTGATCAACTCGTAAAAACAAAACTAACCCTTACAAACCAAGGTATAGACAACCATGATATATACAATGTTTCAAGGGTATTAGAGAAAATGTTATAAAATTGTTATAACACATCCAAAATATAAACATTGAAATTTTCAGTTTAAGTAACCATAAATTCATATGCTTTCAAAGTGGAAAAAGCAGGAAGAGCAGAGGAGAAAAACGGAAAACGGGAAAAAATCTAGTAAACAAACAGTGTTAGCTTTTAAGTTCCCATAGCAACTCAGGAAGGCTATAGTTGATACGACTGAAAACTTGCTCAGTGAGCTGAAATCCCTAATAGATATGACTAATCAACATAACAAAGATCCAAATGCAGTATGTATAAGTACAGCTGAAAAAGTTTGATTGCAACCACTTCAGCAAATCATAGTACATTTGCTGTCCTTTGAGTATTTCATCAGATATACCAGTCCAGACGTGAATATAAAGACAAAGAGTACAACGAAGAGCCTATTTTTGGCAAATTCACTCACTCACCTCAAATTTGTCGAAGTGATTGCTAGTAAATGCTTGAAATCTGACCTACGTTTTCACAAAGAAGCAGTTATCAGTCTTTTATTGACCTGGTAACTTGATGCATTTATTCCCTCTTCATTTGATTACATGGTATTTGCCTACAACTTCTCCCCATTTGATATAGTCTCATTTTGCTCATCTCTTCTTCCTGTCATTTGAGTTGAACTCATCACGTTGTTATTCAATTTACTAGTTACTCATCACCTTATTCATCTTTCGTCTTTATTACTTGACTCCTCTTTAAATGTATTCAAGCGTTTATTTTTGTTCCAATTTGAACTTCCTGTGTATTGACTATATATGTGCAGTCATCTGAGCACTGTTCATTAAGCTTAGTGTCATTTCACTAGCTGACATTAAATAAAATTCGTAAATGTTTCAAAATTGTTCTGAGCATGAACTGAACAATATCTTTAGGCTGCGCACAGTTGATGAGAAGCCGACAAGATTGCTAATAGCACCATGTTATTTTGTACAAACTATTGTTCTTGCTTTGTTCAAATTCATGATGGGGAATAAATTTATGAAACTTCGTTTACAATGATGAAAGTATGCGTAAAGACTGTGATCTTTGGTAGAGGGAGTCATCTATAGAAATACGAATCAGAGAATAAGTTTATTGTTATAATTATATCCTTGGGTTCCAAGTGGAACATACGGCTTCAACAACACGTGCCCACTTTGTTCTGTCCTCTGCCGTCCTCTTCATCTGGGTCCACGATTGACCAGACTCTTTCATCTCTTCCCCACATGATCTCTTCCATGTATTAGTGGATTTCTTTTCAGCAGTCACAGCACAACACTGAACTTGCGATTTTTATCGCCATCATTGTTTCAGAATATCCTTCGGCTCAAACATCTTAGGTTATTCATTGATACAAGGCAGTTACGGCTTCAAAGGAAAACTATCTGAAGCTTGTGTGTCAAACAGAAGATCAGTTGGCAAAGCTGAATACATTTCTGTGGATGATTAATCCTACATGGGAGGAAGTCTATCATTAAGCCAAAGGACAAATTGTGGCCTGATGGCACTTTTATCTTTGAAAGAATTCTCCGCGTATATTGTGTGACCAGTGTTGAATGTCTGTCAGGCAACAGTACTCCTTATTGATCAACTGTTACCTTTCCATAGCTAAGAAACCTAATGTCCTTTGACTTACTAACATATAACGCGCACTGAACGACTTGTATATCTCACTCCACATGAACTAGTGGATTGGTAGATACGATAGTTTATCTTTGGAGTTATTGAAGAACATCGGTCGACAAGAGAAATACCAATAGTGATGCACCAGCAAGGAGTGTTGTTTTCAGGGCGTTAGATATGCTCATCTGTCGCCTTTGAACGTCACATTCATTTACAGCATCGTATTCGATGCAAAGCTGCGATGTTCTTTGTTGGTGTTGGACTGTTTGTGTTTAAAGCGAGTCGGTGACGGTTGGAATGGGGTAGCCAGTCTCATGTAGTATCTTCCTCAAAACAGCGATCTCTTCGTCTACTGATTCAGGACTGCAGATTCTTCGAATCCTAGTCACTAGAGATATTATCACCATCCACTTGTGATTGATGGGTACCCTACTGTGAAAGTTTGTCAACTGGCCGTTCTATGTGAGCTTTAGGTATATTGGTGTGTTCAAAGTCACATCACAATCTTGTTTGTTAGTGGAACGTCCAGAGAGGAGATAGTCTGTCCGGTTTCTACTTCATTTGTAAATTTGAGGGGTGGGGTTGGCAGCTATCGGAAACCTGAAGAATATTTTTCAGGTCAATTTATCAACATTTTTTTCTTAACTAACCCCCTATTTACTCTTTTTACCTACTACATAATTTATTTTGGACACTTGTCTCCAGGCTCTTTTATAAACACACTATTTCTCTAGACTTTTTCCATTTTATGTAACCCTAGTTTCGACTTACCAATCTTCACCGCATCCCATCCCCTCGTTACAAGTGATTATTATTCACCACAGTTTTTGAAATATTTTGACAACGTAAACAATGACCAGTGCGTCGGTGGCATAGTGGTTGGGACGCTCGCCGACTATGCACATGGTCCAGGGTTCGATCCCCGGCCGACGCACTCCTTTACCTCGCTAAGCCAGAAATAATGCTGGTGAAGAGGAAACGTTAGGCATGAGGCTAGCAACCCCATCCTGTAAAATAAGCGCTGCTACAGAAACTTTAAGTCACTAGCTTGAAGCCTTATGTTCCACTGGGGGACGTGAAGGAAAAAAAAACAGTGACCCAAACATTTTTTTATTTTTGTCTGACAAACCTAATATATACACACACAAATATGTGTAAGAATAATTATATATAATTACGGTTGTACAGGTGAGTGAATGAACTGGCCGAAGAATCTCTTTGCTGAACTCTTTGTATATTTAGTTTTTTGAAGTATTTAGAGTTGTTGACGAAATGAATGGCATCAACGAGGTATCTGAAAACTGAATTTTGTAAGTATCAGCATCCCTTCAGACGTAATTCTCCGAAGAAACTCTCGGAAAGCCGGACAAAAGTCCTTCCTACTGTAAATCCACTTTATCCCCCACCCCTTCAAGTGAACTTCGATTGATCCACGCAGTTGCGGGTGGCATCAGTGAAATACCTAACCAGTTTAAACTGGTTTTTAGAGAATCTGATGCTGTATAGTATTAAGAACTTAGTTGCAGAGAAGCTTTCATTCTCTTGTCAGATACCGTGATACTGCTTCCCCTTTGAATTGCAGATAAATGAACACTTGCTGCTTTCCAACAGTTGGGTGTTTCGTTTTCTCATCCTTTTCTCTGTTATACTTTTGGCTAAATCCCTTTGGATAAACATTTTCCCTCAGGCCTTTCACAACAAAGCCTAATTCTTCTTCTAGCTTGTTTGATTTCTTTTCTCTATAAGAATGAAGTGTTTCCACTCGACTTGAAATCAGAATGCATACTGTGATTTTTCTTTCAAAGTGAATAACATTTGTATTCCTAACCCACTCATTCTGATGTATTCCGCAGTGTACATGCTGATTTTGCTGTCTTTTACAGAAACGTGATCTCCTGAGAACTTTCTGTATAGATCCAAGCGTTTTTGTACGCTATATGTTAAAAGTGGAATCCACGTATCATGCTGATGTTCCGTATCATAATTCAATGCATGCAGCTGATGTTTTACAGACATCGCATTATTTACTACAAGCAGAAACACTGGATGTAAGTTTCCCCCAACTGTAATTTCTTTAAACATATTATGCTTAATTTACGTCCACTTAATTTCGTCATGCACTGAAATATATTCCCAGTTGAAATAAGGGGCTTTCGAAAAAAATACACAGGAAAACATAGTTTATTTAAATCGCCTAGTGAAATCGCCGAGCAGTCTGATCACACAGGCAAATATGTATCACAGAAATCTATATGAAAAAAGCGTTCAGGGATCGGAGAATAAACACAAGTTAAAAGCCTATGTTGAAGGTTAAAGTAACAATGGAAATCAATAACTCGAGAAAGGGAGGACGAAATGGTACATCAGTTTTGGTGTCAGAATAAAATGTACCAAACGAAGATTTGACGACATGACGAATCGTTTTTGAACACATAATGGTTGACTGAAGTTCACAGTTACCAGGCCTTTGTTAAACTTTTAGGACACTCCCATGAACACCTTTTATTGGTAGCTTTAAAAGAAGTATGAACATCACTTTTATACCTTATATTTATAATATGTATCTCGAAGAAATAGACTGCCTGAATCATTTAAGCAGGCTTGTAGACCACTCTGCCGCTGGGAGCCGATCCATTGACCCATGAATTCTAAATTCTACTATTTTGTGATTTTAGCGAGGCCACCAACCAATGTCATTGGTGAATATTTGTTTCCACCTCACTGGTCACGACTTATCACTGGGATTTAGTCGCGTCAACTTCGTCCTGTAGCCAGTATTAGAAGTCTGTATTGTAAACTTTTCAGTGTGTAGTCGCATTTTCAGGAATGACCAACAGTCGACTTTTCTTCCACAAATGAGACTCCATGGAGAATAGTATTGGGATGCAGGATGGGTATTTTGTCCTATTTTGTACTCATCAGATGGATATAAGAGCACCTCCAGGGAATGGTACTGTTCCTACTGTCACCAGGACCTAACTAACCACCATCATTTTAAATGCCAAAGCCAAATGACGTTTGGAACTATGGGTGCTAGTTGTATTCGAGTGTCAATGGGGATAGCATCGCTCCCTGGAGATGCTGGTACATTTAGCTGCTGAATGGGTATCCTCAGTTCCACTGTCAGAGACAATTAACAGAATAATAATGTCGTGTTAAACCCCGAACATCGTTGAAGTGTCCGTGTTTAGAAGCAGACACGCCAACGCCGAACGAGTGTTTCAGCCTGGTATAAATCAGTGAACGTAAACTTTTCTCCCATACCTGAAGTTTCCGTGGTTGTTGAGAAACACCATAATAGAGGGGATATCGATATATCACTTCCATAGGGAAATATTCTTCACTTGTAGTAGATTAAATGTACCTGTCTACATAAATTGATATAAAACAGGAAGTTTTGCTGTTCCGACGCTGAAGTGGGTGCCATTGGTCCACTGGTACACTACCCACCAACCATACATGTGGTCTGGGATTGCATTCCCCACTGATGGGCTTTCATAACTCTCTTATTCAATAATAAAGACCAGAAAGGAAGGAAGAATGAGAGTGGAGCGTCAGTGACTTCACCTCGTAATAATAACACATTCCCTGAAATTTCAAAATTCAACTCTTGGGACCCTATATTCGTGCACGGTACTTAAAATCAAAACGGTGAAGTTAAAGTACCACGGCTACAGCAAAATGGCTCTGTAGGCTGACTTTAAAGGATCAGTCGCTTTGTAAGGTCATTCCAAATAGAAAGAATGCCTGTGTTTGTGGATTTGGCAAATGGGTTCCTCAGAGATCCAGAATTTAACTACCGTATTAATACTGGATTATTTGCAATGACGAAGAGTTGCGTTTGTGGACAGACTATAGCAGTGAAACAACACATGCTTGCTGGAAGCAAATACTGTTACGGATGCAATTCATGCCATAAGAGAAAATTGGTTCATAAGAGTAGGTGTAGTATTTTACCTATTCCACAGGTATGTTTTTCTCCAAGTCTAAGCTTTCTTTGTCGGATACCTTATGACTTATGTACTGCTGTATTTTACAAAGGCCTGTAAAGTCAGCAACAGTTAAGACAGAAAATAGCCCGTTCTCTACAGTCGAATGGTATCAGCATTGTAGAGACACGGCGTGACAGAAGTAAGAGGGGACTACTGGCTGTCTTGGAGGAGAAGGATAAGTTGTTCACATAATAGAATAAGGAGAAGGGTTGAACAAGCGTGGGTCCTTGGAATATGCGACACTTCACTTTACAAGGGTTTTGTGGAAATAATACCCAACAGGATTCCTAGAGTATTAATTTCAACCATTCAGCGCTTGGTATTGCAAGGAATGACCAAACATACTGACGAATCGAGGGGATATAACCAACTTCCACCTTCGGGTTATATTCACCACCACGTCAAACATTCCTCAGATCTTGTAGACCTAAACACGGACATTGGCACTAATTCCCTAGAAGGATTTTGAGGGAGGTTGAAGAAAAGAATCAGGAATATCAATGGGTTGCAAAATACCATGATTCATGGCCACATGGTTGAATACACATATCAGGTTTGCTAGAGTATCTCTGGCAGATTATCCCTGGAGAAAATGGGAGACATTTCTGCAACACATTAGAGACTATTTACCAGTTTAATATTATGTTTGTAACGTGCTTAATGGAATTTTTTTAAAGCGATTATTCCACTTTCTTAGCATTTGAATTCTGATTGGTTGTTCAAGGTCACTGGAATTTGGGCTATGACAGATTGGCTTCGCCATCAAGTCATTTCCGAAAAAACTTCCAATTAATATTATTTTTTTGTTTCATTAATTTCTCCTGTGTGTAGAATTCTCAAAGCATTCCATAATTTATTGATAATAGTAATAATAATTGATTAATAGTCATAAACGCTATCATCCAAATGTAAATGTATAATTCCGTAGGTACATCTTTCATTGGGAATACATACACCAAGTCTGCATCACAGCTTTTGTAACAAAAAAACAAGCATATCACTACTTCTACTACTACTACTACTACTTAAACTAAGTCCACCCCTTTAAATTTACAGGATGTGTTCAGTGATCTGGAGATCTTAGCTGTTCTTTTCGCCTCAGCTATCCACGATGTCGATCATCCTGGAGTAACAAATCAATTCCTTGTCAATACCGGTGAGTTTATGCATTCAAAACAATTGATAAATATTTTGGAATATTACGTTTTATCTAACTAAAAATGCTTTAACTCCTTTGAAAGTATTTCTTAGTTATATAATTGTCATAAAAAAAAATAAATAAAAACGAGCTTTCTTCAGTCAACGGTCAACAAAGCATATTTTCAGGTAAATTTTAAGCCAGGTGGCTATAGGAATTTTTTAAATCCCCTGGAGGACATGTTCAGTTACTTGACGCGAACGGCGAGAGTTCAACTCTCCCTTAATTACCTCTGATTAGTGACAAACGAATGTTTCCTAGTATCGCACAGAACAAGTCTTTGTCACTTTCTACTATTCCTAAAAATATACATGGATAAAAGACTTTTTAAGATGTTAGATTCTGAAGTGAAGCAACATGGGTCAAAGATATCATTGAAACTAGGGAGTAATGGACCCCGGGCACCTTCAAGTTACGATACCAAGCTGTTTGGCTATTCAGCCACTTGTCCTGGAGCTCGGTAACCAGTGAATTTTTAACTTGTCTGGAGTACTAGTGAGAAGTCATGAGCAGTGGTGTCTATTAACAGGTCCGAAGTGTGGACAACTACTCAACGATAACATTGGCTGGTGCCGATAGCACCAGAACCACAAAGTGATAGAAGCTGGAATCGGTGGGCCATTTAATCGGTCCCCAGTGGCTGAACAGTCTATTGGCTTGCCTTTGAACCGGGAGGTCTGGAGTTAGAATCCTGGAGATTATGTACATCCTATGAGTCCTGAGCACTGTGAAGAAACAGCTGTCCACTACACCCTATTGATTTTCAACGGTTCTCTAGCCAATATCACTCCGTGGTCAAACTCAGAATAAATCACACCCACCCTGCAAACTGACTCTTAAAAATTCGAAACTTTGTCAATCCATGATTTGGCACGCTACCCTTACTAATGGTATCGATGAGCATACACTTTCGCCTGATATGGTGGACTTTGTTTCCACCACTAATGGGGTCGTAGATGCCCAGTGATAAAAAAAGTCCCAACACAAGAAGAAACGGTGCTTTTCAATAATCTCTCCTACTGATGTCGGTTGGTGACGGGATTTAACATTTGAAATTAGTTTAATGTCTCCTCAAAACTCTCATAATATGATAAAAGATGATCTAAGATAAAGCAAACACAGAAATTTACCTAATCTGATAATTCATCCATCTGACTGTCATTGTATTATTATTCCCTTTGGTTCCGAGTGGAGAACAGGGCTTCAACAGCATACCCCCATAGTCCTCTTCTCTGCAATCATCTTTAGCTGGCTTCATGACTGAATATAAGCTCTCATCTCCTCTTCAAACCAACTTCATTATGTCACTGACAGACCCACGCTCAATTCATCGTTTCACATTCGGGTTCCACTCGAGGATCTCAAATGGATGTGATGTCTACTCAACGGTCTTCTGAGCATGAACCCTATCCACATCATATTCATTGAACGAAAGATTCTTGACTAGCTCTTTTCCAGAGCTTCTTGTTGCTAATTCTTCCCCCCCCCCCCGGCTATCTGGTCTTCACTATGGAGCGCATAGAAGGTGGATGACTGTTGTACATCCTTATCATAAACTCCACACAAAGTCTCTGACGCACATAGAAGGCAGTGACTGACTTAACATTGGTGCTAAAAACTCGAATTTTGCTCCTTGTGCTGAGTGGAGAAGACTTCCATATTGATTTCAGGACAATGATGTTCTTTCGTGGTCTTTCTGACTTCGATTTCGACATCCTCGTCTATCTGACTACTATAACTACTACTAATCAGAGGCATGTTATTGAAGCTGTCTCCTTGACTTCAGTTTAGTTTCACATTTTTCCCTTAAATACACACACACACACACACACACAATCCCGTATATACAGTTAAAATTAGTCTGAAAATGATTACTTTTCAGTTTCTACAGACGCGTTATTTATTATGTCTAGCAATCGGAGGCAAGAGAAAATGAGATATGTTCAAATTCCATCTTCTTAATCCCTTTCTATATACTTTCTATGCTCACAATTATCTATCTGCCTATACATATATATCTACTTAACTATTTATATTGCTGCCTCTGATGTATCGTGTTTAACCACCCACCCACCACCCATCAAACGAGCTAGCTATCCATTGCAGGAAACACGCACACACACACACATCCAGACGAACATGTACGCATCTTGTCTAGAAAGAGGAAGACACACGCACACGCACACACACACAGACATGTACATACACAGAGTAACAATGGTGATGATGATGATAATGATGATAACAATAATAATAATGGTAATGATAGTAATAATGGTAATAATAGTAATGATGATAATAATAATAATAATAGTAATAATTCAATTAGGTATATGCTTATCAATGCATGAATAGATTTACAATCGCATGCATAGAAATCTATGCCCACATGCATGAAGCACTAGTCAAAAAAGTATATTACGTAATTCTATTCTTTCAGCTTTTTTCCTCTTACAGCATGCATGTAGTTCGATCCAGGAGAACATAATGAGGATATGCATGTCGTGTGTGTGAGTGTGAGTGTGTGTGTGCGAGCGACCGAGCGAGAGAGAGAGCGCGCGATGAGCTGTACACACTGCATAACCATACCAATTATCCATTTGTCTATTATGATTATTATTATGTAATGTTAACGAGGTAGATTATCTATGAGATTTTCTTTTTAGGTGTGTTTCGTACAGAGGTAGATAGATAGATAGATGGATGGATAGATAGGTGGAGGCATACAGCTCTATTCTGATTATCGCGGCTTTTGTTGTTGTTGTTGAATTTTTGGTTATTTATGCATGTTTATTTCGCTGAAGTCTGCCTCCTGTTTGCATGTCATCTGATAATTATAGTAATAATAGTAGTGCGCATTCTGACCACACATTTACCGTCTAAATTTCTTTTCAGTAATGCGATATTTGGTCAAAAAGCATCCTGTCCAATGTCAGTTTGTTGCGCTTCGGATTGTAAGAGTGGTAAACACGCGCCACTCAAACGACACGCTCAATTATTGTGTGGCGGTTGAAGGCAATCGACCTACGTTTTATGCTTGTTAGCACTCGTGTTATAATAGCTAAGCATATCTGTAATCTCCAAAGAACTTAGGCACCCCCCCTCTTCTGAGATTCGAACCCAGGTCAGCCAGTGCTGCAATTAGAGACGTGACCAGTGTGCTATTCGAACTAGCCAGTGGTCCCCTGCAGGACTGTAATGGATCCTTTGACTGGCCTCTAGACAGGAACTAATTTCATGCGTCTAGTGGCGATACAAACACGAAACATAGATCGACGGCTTCCTGTCTGACAAAAGCAATAATGTCGAGCCACCCAGCTTGATGGTTGTTATGCTGTAAACCTGACTGACAGACTCCAGTTTAGACCAACAACAAGGACTAGAAGCAGGACATTAGTTACTACCTGGTGTCTTATCAGAGCAGTCACTTATCTTTTTGGAGTAGGCAGTATCAAGAAAATTTGTGTAAGTCAGCTGACGGTGAACCCAAAACTCCCACTAACTTCTTGAGAAATAAAGATGAGGTCTGCTGGATAGCACTGCTTCAATGGTTCAGTGGTAGAACACTCGACAGCCACTCAGGCTGTCCGGGGTTTTATTCCCGTCTGACGCACTTCTCAACCTAGCCTATCCACTGGTAAGACCTGTGAAGAGACAAAGATGAGTGTGAAAAGGTATACACCTCTGTTTCTGAAAATTAGAAGCTCAAATATAGAGCCATATGTTCCACTCAGAACGCAAAGGAGTGAAATAAAATAATGGACAAGACTGAGCAACGCTCTAATACTCAACTTCACCTAGGCAATGAATGGCCGCTGATTGACTGCGTCGATTGAATGAGGCCTCATGAATTGTCAATTACGCCTACTTAAACGTTGTGTAAACATTTTTCTTCCATCACTTGACATGTTGGATCCTGAATTATCCTCTCACAGTTTATTCCCAGTTTACACAATGGATTTTCTTACATGATAAATTCATGTTTCAGTAAACAGCAGACAGACGAGCTAAAGACACCCCCCTCCGCCCGCCGCTTCTCTTACATCTATTAGACTAGTAGAAGCCTCTGACATTGTGACTGATAATTACTGAATACGTGTTTCAGCTGGAGCACACTTATTGATCGAAATGTATGTAAATCTTGCTGAATAATACTCAATAAGAATAAATGTGCTTATTACAAGCTCAAGCCTCGCCTAGCTTAATAGTTCACCAGTCCCAAACCCAGGAAAATCAATCCAAAGGCAAAAGAAACTTCAAAGCACAAGAAAAATATTAAAACCAAACTTATTCTTTGCTGAAAGCGGAGAGGCTAACTGACGTGGGCTAGTTGGTGAAAGCCTTTGGGAAGCCAGTCAGCCGATGTGTCTTCTCTCGATGAAAACGAAAAACAAGGATGGCGACGTGGAATGTTGTCACAATGTTAGAAGCTGGGAAGGCTGCTCAAGTTGTCGAAGAAATGCGAAGATATGGCATGGAATCGTGAGTCTAGCTAAAGAGAACAGGGGGACTATAATAAGAATAAATTGCAAGCCCTATTACTGATTATAGTTAGAGTTTTGAAAGTCACCTCACCAAGAAACTTAAACAATAGGTGTGCATAAAAATAGTAACAGTCATTTAGGAGTGAAACTAATCACATGAAATTTTCATGTACAGTCATTAATTAAAGAAAGATTTTATTACCGTTTTCAGCAAGCTTTTCTGCCGTAGAAATTCAGTTTTATTAGTACCGTCTTGTCGACTATATAAGTAAAAAAACGCACGTCTAGAAAACAGTTAACTGACCATCAAACTGAACTCTATGTGGTTTGAATTAGTTTTATTACTACTACTAATAATAATAATAACGGCTTTATTCTTCATAATGTTACTTCCCGGCTACTGACACTATGGAAGGTAATTGATTTTTCGGGTGCCTAAAACAGAAAGAGGGTTAGTACTGCATGACCTCAGAGCTCATGGGACAACTGTTTCAGGTCGGTCACACATGGCCTGTACGAACTGCTTTCTGGGATTGGTTCCGTATTAGTGAACTTACAGCCAATTACGGACCACCGTAGGGTAAGTGGGGATGTACAGTTTTTAGGGTCGACCTATTCTAACCCCCTCCCTCCAGAGTGTAGGGACAGCATATCTGGCTGGCATGCAGGTCATCTGAGGAAAACACCTTATTGTGTCTGTTGCACCCCTGTTTGCCATCAGTATGACTTCACCCACAGACTCCCACCCGTAAAAAATTCTTACACTATGCCAGTAACTGCTTTTAGTCTAATCGCTATCCTAACAACCTTCCTGGCATAGTAGGACCCGTAGGAACAACAGTTCAAGCCAGTGTAGTTTGTCATTGGGTCATTGCGATATGCAAGCCCTACAACCACGTCAAGGTAGCAGCTATCGATCGGGAAGGAAGGTGTAGACTTGCTGGTTTGGGTCCTCGGGACGGTAGAAACCAATGGCTGGAGACAATCAGTGATATGGCTCAAAATCATTCTCAGTGGCTGGCACAGATGCATACACTCCTTTTGACTTATAATACCCAACGAAACTATATTGTTCTTCTGTATTACCATTATTTTTGCCCGGTACCTCTGCTTACTGTATCTGTTTTGCATTTCCTTTTACTTTCTTTTCTTGCTTTGTGTGCTACATGGAGTGTGGCGACTGGAACTACTGCACATCGGTGCAAAGCTCTTTGTTGAAACCGGTCACTTAGTCAGTCAGACCTCGATTCTGGCCAAACTAAACTCTGATTCTTTAGCCTCGCCCACCTAACCTGATGGTTAGGCTGCTCTTAACACCGTTCCAGGAAGAGATAGACAATATAACCCGTACGACTGTTCAAACACCTACTTATTAACTTAACGATAAGCCACACCCGAATTCCTTGAAAACTCATTTTTCCTCAATCTTGCCCAAGCAGCACAGATAGACAAATTGGCCACTGAAAAATAAATGATTGACAATTAATTGAATGGACAAACTTCTTTGGTCTCCTACAGGTTCACTAGCACCGTGCCCAGCCTTCCCTCCTGATTTTGGCTTAAGCAGACTAGACCTTGTGACCGGAATAGTTGATCAACAAGGAACTCTAGCAGCAATACATTGCTCAAAGAAACACATCGAAGAAAATTAAGATGAGTCTGTCATGTGCTAAGGAGACCGTTGAGTGGAATCATTCGCTAGACCACTGCTCCAGTGGAATCCGAATAAGAAGCCAGCGATGAGTTGGATATCGTTGGTTTGAGGGTAACATGGAGGAGATTATCTCATGAGATATCATATGAGGAATCGTAGAGCCAGTGTGAGATGGAGATGTGCTGTTGTAATCCTGTCTTCCACTCGGAACCCAAAGGAATAACACCAGTAGGCCGTCAGTAGGTGTCAAAGTAGTAACCTTACAATCCACTGCACGTCACGATTGTTATAGTTATTGTTTGTCGATATCGGATTACTTCAGAATAGACATTGAAAATAACAGTCGCAGTTTAACTGACTCCTTTCAAGAGTTCGTTTGATAGCATTTGGTTTTTTTCAAGTTTGACCACGGATTGATATCAGTTAGAGAAGCATTGAAAACCAGGATGTATTGGGCAGCTACTTCTGTTGTACTAGCCTAGGACTCATTGACAGGGTTTGGACCCAGAAGCTTCCAGTTACAAGGCGAGCTCGTTAACCATTCAGCCACTGGAGCCCAACTTTAATGAACCATGAATCCGGTACTTCCTGGTTCTCAGTGGTCCTCTAACTGATACAAATCTATTGCAAAAGTTAAAACAAATTAAATCCCTACAAAGAAACTCGTGAAAATGAATCTGATGCTCACTAGTGACTGGCTTCAGGACAAAGTTGCCTGCTGGGAGTTCTACTAAGAAGTCGTGACCAGTGGGGTCCAAGACAAGGTCAGGTGTGAGGACAAATATTCACCGATGACATTGGTTAGTGTTTGCGCTAAAACCGCTGGGTCGAGTCTCAGTGGCTGAATTGTCTACGAGCTTAACTGTAACTAATTTAATCCTATCATAATATACCCTTTTAATTCAGGGGTTTCAGACAATAAAGACAATGTGTAATTACAGTCTAGTATCGCGTGCTTTCCGTCAGTTCCGTGTCCAATGTCAGTTTGAGGGGATGTGGCAAACTTGTCCAACGCTTAGATATTTGTATTTCTAAATCCTAATAAACTTTTTCGTGCAGTAATTGTTTCTAATAGTTTTATTGTTATTATTATTGTTTACCTTGTTAATTTGTAGGGCATGAATTAGCCTTACAGTACAATGATTCCTCTGTACTAGAGAATCATCATCTTTATATGGCCTTTAAAATTCTAAGTGAACCAGAATGCGATATATTTGCTAACTTAGGCGTTAAGAAACGTCAAACACTGCGTAGAATGGTAATAGAACTGGTGAGTTCTCTTATATTGTTTGTATTCTGCTTTGGTGTTTTTTTCTTGTAAATCACGACACACAAGTTGTATGGTATAAAACTGGTTAGAGATAAAGGTACAATGATGGTAGTTTGACCACTTGTGAAAACAAACGTGACCTAAATAATATTCTTCAAATTTCTGATAGCTGCCAACCCCACCCATCAAATTGATAATTGAAGTAGAAACCGGATAGACTATCCCCTCTCTGGACATTCCACTAACAAAGAAGATTGTGATGCGACTTTGAACACATAAATATACAGAAATCTCACGTAGATTGGGCCAGCTGACAAACGTAGCGTATCCATCAATCACAAGTGAAAGCTGATTATATCTCTAGTGACTAGGATTCGAAGAATCTGCAGTCCTCAATCAATAGATGAGGAGATCACTGTTTTGAGGAATATGCTACTTGAAAATGTCTACCCCACCCCCACCGTCACCACTATGCTTTACAGATGGACATGTACAGCCCAACGCCAACAAAGAACATCCCAGCTTTGTATCAAAGAGGATGCTGCACGTGAATGTGGCGTTCACAGGCGACCATATGGTCGACACCCTACACATGAGAATATCTGACGCCATGCTAATAACATGCCTTACTGATACATCACGATCGGTATTCTCTTGTAGTTCTATGTTCTTCAACAATTGTAAATATAAACTATCGTATCCAGCAATCCACTTGCTCATGTGGGGTGAGATATACAGGCCGTTCAATGCGTGTTAAATGTTAAAGAGTCAGAGAACATTATCCCGCTTGGATATCAAAAGGTGACAGTGGATCACTTAGGACTACTGTAGCCTGATAGACATTCAACAGTGGTCACTCAATAAAGAAGGATAATTCTTTCAAAGAGAAAAGTGCCATCAGGCCACAATTTGTCCTTTGGCTTCATGATAAACTTCCTCCTCTGTTGGACTATTCATCCACAGAAAGGCACACAGCTTTGTCAACTGATCTTCTGTTTGACAGATTCGCTTCAGATAGTTTTCCTTTGAAGCCGTAACTGCCTTGTATCGATGAATAACCTAAGATGTTTGAGCCGAAGGCTATTCTGAAACAATGATGGTTGAAGACGATAAAACTCGCGGGTTCATTGTTGTTCTATGAATGCTGGAAGGACATCCACTACTACATGGAGGAGATCGTGTGAGGAAGAGATGAGAGAGTGTGGCCAATCAGGAACCCAGATGAAGAAGACGGCAGAAAACAGAACAAAGTGGACACGTGTTGTTGAAGTTCCATGTTACACTCTGAAAGTAAGGGACAAAAATAACGTTAAACTTATTCTCTGATGCGTATTTCAATAGATGACTCCCTTTACCAATGAGCACAATCCTTACGCATAGTTTCATCACTGTAAACGAAATTTCATACATTTATTCCTCATCATGCATCTGAATAAAGAAAGAACAATAGTTTGTACAGAATAACATGGTGCCATCAACAATCTCGTCGGCTTCTCATCAAGTGTGTGAAGCCTAAAGAAATTGTTGAGTTCATGTACACAACAGCTTTAATATACTTACTAATGTGACATAATGTCACTTAGTGAAATGAGACTCCAAACTTAATAAACAATGCTCAGACGACGGCACATATATAGTCAATACACAGAAAGTTCAGTTCCAAACAAAAATAAACGTTTAAATACATTGGGAAAGGAGTTGAGTCGTAAAGACAAAAGATGAACAAGGTGGTGATTGACTAGTTAATTGAACAACAATGTGTTGAGTTCTACTCAAATCACAGAAAGAAGAGATGAGCGAAATGAGACTATATCAAAGGAGGAGAGGTTGAAGTCAAAGACCATGTAATCAAATGAAGAGGGAATACATACATCAAGTTACCAGGTCAATACAAGACTGATAACTGCTTCTTTGTGAATACATAAGTCAGATTTCATGTTTTTAACAGCAATTACTTCGACAAACTTGAGAAGAATTGAGGTATTCGTCAGCTGATAATGGTAAACGACTTCGTGATGTCAATCTGACGACCCGTATTGATGAGACCTGTGGTAGTGGCACTATTCTAAAGGTGTGTTACCATGAAACGTAAACATTTTGGTACCTGTTCAGAATATCGAAGGTGTGCCATCCTTTATCTTGTACCAACATAACTGCTATCGTAGATACATTAAAATTTGTATACAGAGTTACAGTTAACATGAGAAGCGTATCGATCGATTTGTGATCGCGAAGGGGATGAACAGTGTTTCATTTACAAGCTGATCAGTGATTACATTCAGTATTTTCGTGTGTGAGGGGAGGGGAATTAATTTTTTATTTCAACACCTTGAAAAAGGTTATTCCATTTAAAAGTATGTCTTTAGTGAGTAATAAGACAATATATGTAGTACCAGTTGAGAATAGATGTGGAAATAATTCTTCTAAACATGGCGTCTTTCTGGTCTCATGACTGAATTATCCTACTCCATTATTCAGCTGATTCATCTCCGTGAAGGTAGATAAAATTAATTCGCAGAATTTATGAAGCAACATCAAAACTACTATAAGAGTTTTACAGTCCCCTATCCTTGTTTCTATGTTTATAAACGCTGCTAAACTTCCTATAGTGTAAGAAAGTTCAAAGAATAATATTGAGTGCTAGCACTGCTAGTTGGTGTGAGTACTAGTCAAATCAGTCATTCACTAGTATACAGTTTTGTGCAAATATGCTCACCTTCTTGATCGTCATTTGTGATATCAGGCAGAGCACAAATTTCGTGACCTTAATAATCTGATTTCTACGAAAAACTCCGGTAAACTTTCACTCCTCAAACTGAATAAATTGCAAATTTTGAATTTAACTTATGATGTCACCAGTTCCCTCAAGTAGCTAGTCAGACATCGGTGGATTTGAACTGCTTTGCCCCCCTGAGATGAGTAAAACAGGGTACATACCACTGATGAGCTCGTCGCAAAACGAGTAAAATGGCAGCTTGGACAACTTTGACCTAGGTGGCAAGCACTAGAGGCTGATGTGAGTGCTGCACAACTGTGCACCTCAGTCAAACGGTAGTAGTATCTAGTTTTTGAGATGCAGCACATTATATTCTGTCCAGAAGTTGTTGATATTTCTCACCTTCACTCAACTTAGCACACAACGCGACCTGAAAGAAGCACAAGAGTGGGCATTAGTTAACGCCGTTGAGATAATAATAGTTCTCAACCTAATTAGAAATAAAGCTAGACTCCTGCGGATGAAATTGGTGATGCTATATTGGCGACTAGTTGAATTTAATGTGTACTGACCATCGATTTCTCAGCAGTTAGTATAAGGTCAGTGTAATTAGTTAGATTTTTGGAGGCAAATAGCATGAAGCCTTGACTACACCTAGGTTTCGGGCTCGTTGCCACTCATCAGTCAGCAAGCCCTATCTGCAGTCTTTTAGGAACTCATGTCCCTTCCGAGATTCGGACCCGAGTCATGCAGTGCTGCTGTCAGAGATGTTATCACTGATACGCCCTGGTGACGAATGCCAACAAGCACAAAACCTATGTCTGGGGAGGCCTTCCTGTCTCCAATCATCTACTAATAATTCAAAGTGCATCGTGATGACGAGTCACCTAGCCTGATGATCGCTACATTGTAAACTTGATTGGTAGGATCCACTCTGTGCCACTGCCAAGGACTAGAAACAGGACATAAGTTATTACCTAGAGTTCATCCAAAATGTCAATGTACTTTCCATGAGAGCCAAATGTATCTCTTCTGCTGCCCAGAATAAGTGAGCTGTCGTCTCCTGTGTCATCTTTATTGGTTTCTGAGGAAATCTTCCAGTGAAAATGCATTTTTTAAAGTCTAGCGTCTTTACTTCTCACTTATCTTGACTTTTCTCCCTTTGTCTCCAATTTGCACCTGTTTAGGTACTAGCAACAGACATGTCCAAACATATGAGTTTGTTAGCTGACCTACGGACAATGGTTGAAACTAAAAAGGTTTCTGGATCCGGTATACTGAATTTGGACAATTATGCAGATCGAGTACAGGTAATGTTGTGCAGTTTGATTAACTGAGATATAAGTTTTGAGTTTGACCACCGAATGATATCAGTTAAAGAACGATTGAAAGTCACTGAGGACGTCTGTTTCGTTCTAGTGAGAAGTCGCAACCAGTGGGGTCCACTACCAGATGACGAGTGGGGAAAAATACCCGTCAATTAAACTGGTTAGTGGTCTCGCTGAAATCACGAATTGGTAAAAGTTAGAATTCATGCACTAGCCATTGAGTTAACTCACAGTGACCGAACGATGTACGAGCTTAACTTGTAACCAGCAGGTCCTAGGTTCGAATCCCGGTGGGTACATACTGCTGAGGAATCTCAAACCAGGAGGATACATCTGTTTAGTACTTAGTACTGGTTCTCAATGGTTCTCTAACTGATATCAATCCATGGGCTTGAAAAACTTCGATTACCTGCAAACTAACTCAAATATAAGTGTTGCATTGTATTCACAGGCAAATTATGCGTTGTAACAGTAGAAAGAGGAAGGGGAAGAAAGCCTACATGTAGAAATGAAGTCATGCAAGAAGATACCTGTATGCTTTAAGTTCATAAAACAGCTTGAGTTTTGAGTTGGTTTTGAAGTCTTGTGTCCACGTGTTTCAACCTTCTGGCACAATTGACGAAAAAGCTGACTACACACAATGTCCCGCCATTCAGCATATCATGCATTTAGTATATGTGAAGCCAACATTCTTTATTCAGTAATCTGTAGTAATAAAAGACACCGGCGTTGCAACCGAAAACTTCAACCAGAAAAAGTTTCTCCAGGATCTTGTCAACAGATTAACTAGTGTTTCTGATCAGTTCCCTTCAATCTTCTATGGCCCGTTTTACAAAATATCTTCCCTTTTCGAGTGGAACACAGTACTTTCAGTGTAACGGTAGTACTGTCTTAATGCGGTAAGGTTGCTATCCTCGCTCCAAAGTTCTCCTCTTTTACGGGCTTACTACTATTGTCTAGCGAAGTAGGCGAGGTTTCAAAGTACCTTGGCTGCAAATCGAACCTCAAAACAGGTGAATAATTGGCGACTCGACCACCAATAACCCCGCTTGGCTTCACTTTTCGAATAATTATAAAAGATAAACCGGTCAACTTGATTTACTTCTATAGAATGGTAAGATATCTATAAAAATTGGCATTTTAGTCAGAGCAATAATAATACTGCCAATGACATGGGTGAATAATGGCAAAATGTTACAAAGTGAAAAACAATGTGGTTGTACAAACAAATGTTTTAATTTACACAGTGCAGGGAGGCTTAGAACACAAATTACAACAATAACACCCATTGGGTCATGAAGGAAATAAAAGACAAATTCAGCGAGGATTTCGTCGATAAAGAAAATTTTCTTCTCTGAATTTGTCGCTTACTTTCTTCACGACAACAATAATAATTTTACGGAGTACTAAACTGCATAAGAAGTAAATAAACTTAGTCTTCAAGAGTTGACTGGCTTCCAGTTTGATCATGGGTTAATATCAGTTACAGAACGATTGAAAACCAGTAGGCTGTACTGGACAGCTCTTTCTTCCTGGTTTTGGACTCTTCAGCAATGCCTCACGAGGGATGTTACCCAAGATCTTCAGTTTACGAAACCAAGCTCGGTGATTATTCAGTCACTTGTGTGGGAATTTATTGATCCATCAATTAAAATTACTGTCAGTTCGTGGCTTCATTACAAGAAGTACTTCTGATACAATGTGGAATTTTTAGCATGTAATCTAACACTGCATCTATTAGATGGTTGGAGGCAGCCGGCAGGATGCTCTCCCTAGACCTGGGTTTCGTACTTGTTGACAGTCGTCAGAAAGAGTTATCCAAAATCTTGGAGGAACTTATGCCCCTTCTGAGAAGAAGAACCTGCATCACCCAGTTAGTGTTGCAGTCACATACGTTACTGAGTTACTACTGAGCTATTCGGTCTTGCGATTAACTTCCTGTAGGTCTGTATTGGTCGAGTTTTCAAGTCTAGTCAATCCTGAAGCATTTTTACAAGTATTCAATCGATAAGTGAGACAGAAAAAGAACTCTTACCTCGTAGTTACAGACCATTTTCAAGTTTTGGAAAGTAGTCGATTGCAAATTCACTTGTAATTCAGACTTCCTGTTACTTTTAAAACTTAACAATACCCTTGTGGAAAGCTGTATTGTGTCCACCAACGCAGAAAGTTTTACAATCAACAACCAAGCGTAATTTTACAATATTTCTTTAATAAAACTCATTGCCTCCTGTGGTTCACGCTTCTATACCAAAACATCTTGAAAAGTTACTGCTGAGATGGGAAATCATTCCTTCGAATAACATTATTCATGCACTTTACAGATTTGTCACTTATTTACTACTAAACTAAATTTTCAAACTTAGGGTGTCACGCTCTTGTTTACTGATTGTACGACACGACAGTGAGCCTAGATCCTAAGGCGACATTCAGCCATGGCACCAACTTCAAAATGCGAAAAAAAATCTCAGTTGTTTGTTACTCAACCCAGGTATTTCGCCTCAACTATCCTGAGAATAAGTGGGCAAAACCCTCTACTACAATTTCAGTGTAACTTCGGAAGGAATCTTCAGCAGTAGACACCTGTGACCCACCTACAGGGATCAAACTCGGGACCTGGAGTTAATGAGGTCAGGCTCGTTTATCATTCAACTAACTGGCCCGGAATCCAATACCCGGTTCATGAATTCTAATTTCCACCAATTCGTGATTTTAGTGAGACCGCCACTCGAAGTCATCAGTGGGTATTTGTCCTCACACCTGGCCTACTGACGACTTCTCACTGGAACTCCAACCGGTCACCTTTTTCCTTAAGCCAGTCGCTAGTTAACATCAGATTAACTTCCAAGGGCTAGTTTGTAGGAACTTGATTCCTTTCAAGTTTGATCATGGGTTGATGGTGATCGTGCGAAAAATCGCTAATGCACAGAAGCTAAAATTCATGGCCTGTTAGATTTTAGCCCAAGTCGGTGAAAGGTCAAACTTGTGAACCGTTCGACAACTGGGAAGAAATCCAGTGCCCGGTTGATGAATTCTAAAATTTATCAATTGGCAATTTCAATTTTCCGAAAATCCTTACTCTTCCAAATTGTGTTGTCATCATGTTTACCTGATTTGAAATGAAAATAACCGATAGACGGTTCAGGTAAATAAGACTCTTATCTGATGAATGCCGTTGTGTAGAGGATTATGCGTAACACAATAATAACTGACTGACTGACTCAGTTCGAGCATAGAACTTAGCCCAGAAGTGCAGCACTCCAGGTCACCATACTGCATGGAGTATACGAAGGCAAAAAAAGAGAGAGGGAAAAGGATTCGAAAGCGCCATAATAATTAGCAAGTCGAGGGAGAAAGAATGGGTGATTATATGGCATTTCCCCTTTTTTGAATTGCTGCCACCTGCTGTATCCGGTGGGTATTAAGCCGGTTCAGTAAATACGCTGAAATGCACCGGCATGATTTCATGAAAATTCAATAAAATACATTTAAATTTTGAACTCACTGCCTGCTTTGATCCATTACATTGCACAGACGACAGTATGAAGCACCATTTTCTGATAAAAGTGCAGCGAATGTAACGCATTTCAAGGGTACAATGCCACCGAGAATATGTACATCATAAAAACAAACTTTTAATGTAAAATTTCACTTAAAAGACACAAACGAAATATAACACATCATTAAATCACCATAGTAATCGACTACGATGCTACAATTATAGGGGATGTGCATTAAAGCCACTGAGATGGAATAGTAACATTAGAGTTTAATGGATCTGCCAGAGAATTCATCTATGCGCCAGTGGCACGGCGGTAGGGATATTCGCTAACCATGCAGGTGGTTCGGGGTTCGATTCCAGGCCGACTCATTCCTTTACCTCCCTCGCTAAGTCAGTAATCACACTGGTAAAGAGGGAAGGTTGGGCATGAGGCTAGCAACCCCATCCCGTAAAAATGAATACCACCGCTACCGAAACTTCAAAACTCTAGCTTGAAGCTCTATGTTCCACTGGGAACCTAAAGGAATGAAATAAAATAAACAATCGAGACCAATTTTGAGCAATATCACCAACAGCCTGAAGCATCCTGAGGACCTCAAACAGTCAGACAGTCTACACTTCCCTACGTGGTTTATACTGACTGTCAAAGATGTTATCGACCAATGCCAGGTAACCTTTTCATATCGTCCACTTCCAATGGTCATATCTCACATCCATAATGCAGGATGGAGAGGACTGCTGCACAGTACACTTGTTATCTGTTTGACTACACGATTATACGTCTACGCCAGAGATAAGGTAGGCTGGAAAATACCACAAGAGCGATTTTGTATCTGTGCTGCGATTTCATTACCAATCAATTCATTGATGGAGTGATCAGCACGCCCCACTACTTCACTCTTTACCTTTAATTTTGCAGTCAGTGCAGGCCAGTCCTGCAGCAACACACCGAAAATGAGCAAGGAGAATAAGCTATGTTAGATTGTAAAATAAAACGAATAGAAGAAGGCAAACTACATACTAGTGTTTATAGAAAACCAACGCATTCCAAAAGATATTTAGACTTTAATTCAGCTCATCCTTTAACTGTTAAGGCAGGCTTAGTTAAGTGTTTAACAAACCTAGCAATGGCACTAAGTAGCACAAAAAAAGACCTTAATGATGAAATAAAACAGATAGAAGAGGCGTTGGTTTTAAATAACTATCCTCTAAAATTCATTAGGAAGATTGAAAAACGCCAAAAGAAAAATAAAAAGAATTGTGAAACTAGTAATAATAACATAAATAAGAGAGAATTTAAGTCATCTACAGTTATACCATATAAAGAGGGGACATCTGAGACCCTACGTAGGATTCTAAATAAAGCAGGAACTATGGTGGTGGTATTTAAACCTACAAACTCACTCAGGGACAAGCTCTGTAAGTTAAAGGACCCAGTGGACCCAATTAGGCAAAATAATATAATTTACAAAATACCCTG